ATATTATTTTTCAATTGGAAAAGAGGCCATCCATTTTTCTGATTTCTAGCCCCACATCATCTTACCAGTTTTCCCCAGCTATTACTCAATTCCCACTCTTCACCTACTTCAGTTTTCTACAACATATTTAACATGTTTTCCTATGCTCCTAATACCACTCAGGCACCAACTTCTCCATCCATCATGTCAATTTTGAGCACTTTGACTGCATTATATTCTCTCTCATCATCCTACCTTTCTGCCTTCTTGTCAGATTATCCAAATCTTTCTAAGCTTACTGTATCAGCCTGTCTCTAACTCCTGTCACATAAAACAACACCTCTTAATTCTACATCCAATCTTAATCCTTTCCTTCTGAAATTTAGTGTCATAATCCTTTTCCTCCATATTTTGTTAGTGTTACTCTCCATCCACTCCGAGATAAAAATAACTGATTTTTAGTCATATGACTATTTTTAGTCATAATCTCAAAAGACTCTTGGCATTAGCTTGATGCTGTCGCTGGGGCAATCCAAGCTAAAATTCCTACTTTGCTCAATAACGACCACTTAGAAACTTGCACCCTAAAGCTCTGCTTCATGCATGCCCTCATTTCAGGTTTTCTGGTGCGTCCCTCTGGTTTCTTACCAATCCATCATAAATGAACAACTAAAAAATTACTTATTCACAATGTGGGTGGTAGGGCTGTGCAAAGCTTCAGATGCTGATTCGATTCAGAGGAGATTTGGCCCGATTCAGAGGCTGAATCTCCAAATCAAATCAGCAGACCAATAAAGGATCGAATAAATTTGAAGCTCTCCAAATAGATTCAGAAAAGATTCGGAGAGCTTTTGAGATTCAGGCAGTCCCCGCCCACTGCCATAGGGAGCTGGACCTGGACTTTGTGGCAGTAAGCAGGGGGCGGGGGGGAGGAGAACTAGAGGAGGGAACCATGCCAAGCCCCATCCTCTGTCTGCTCCCCCAGCCCCCCTGCGTGCCCCCTGACCCCCGCCCGCTCTCCCAGTCCCGTCAACAACTGCCCTGCCTGGCCCCAGCATCCCGGCGCTTTCAGAAAAAAAAAAAAA